TTATCCTTCCCAGTGTAGTACAGCAGGGGTACATGGTGTCCGTTTCTTCCATTACTAATATGCTAAGGAGGATGGGATTTTTAAAAAGCATGCTTTGATAGAAAGAGATCAATATCGAAATATTCTTTATAACACTGTAAAATATGTTAATTTTAAAAACAAGAGTAGAGTATAGAGTGATTTCTATGAATTAAATACAAAGTACTGGAAAGCTTTCCTTGTTTGTTCAATACCTTGAATTTAGCCTTGAGAAAAAAAATCTCAAAAGTCATTTATGTTAGTTACTTTTCTCTCATTGTTGAGACAAAATACCTGGCTCCCAAAGTTAAAGGGGAAAGATTTTATTTAGCTCACAGTTCAAGTTTAGCTTTCAGTCCATGGACAGCTGGTCCAAGGCAGGGATAACAAACAGGCATCAATCACAGAGAAGAAATAACACGGCACCCACACAGTAGCAAAGGCAACGAGAGAGCCTCCCTGAGCCTTTCTGCCTTATTTTATTCAGACTCCCAGAATTAGGGTGGTGATTAACCACTGACTCACATGTGGTAGTTTAATAATCATACATCCTTAATCATATATTCCAGATTCATCTATCTCTGACTGAATGAGGCCTTGGGGTAACATCCAGACCAAACCATAACAACACTAAAAGATAAGAAAAAAAGAAGGAAGGTAGACTGGAGTTATTAATGATAAAGGAAAAGTTACATTTAAGAATTTTCAACAAAAACAACTTCTTCTGATTATAAGTCTATATACTGAAGTAAAATATAGAGTGTATTTAAGTAAAAAAATTAGTTTATTTTACTTAGGCAACGTGAAAAAGTATTACTGAGATTTATAAAATTAAAGTTTAGATATCTAGTGGCAATCACTAGGGTCTCCTCCAAATTACTTTCATTTAGTGGTGGTATTTTGTCATAAATATTAGTTGTGAATAATAAAAAAAAGGTAGTTGGGAATATTGTCACTAGGAATAGTGGAGAAGGAAAGACCAGAAAATTCCAAGTCTGTACTGAAAATGTGGTTCAGGTTTAGAGCCCCAGAATGCTGGTGGAGATACCATGAAGATGTCACTACCAAAATAACATCACTTATGGAATTCGGGTGTGTGTCAATCAGCAGCTGGAGTCCAAAAACTTGTATTTAGATCCTACCTTTTCCTCTTCCTTCCTATGAGACTATGGGCAAGTCATAGCAGCTCTCTGTAATAAGGCTTCAATATTATATATACATATATA